GTAATAATTTTAATTCATTGCTTTTTCTATTTATTTTCTTTTCCTTTCTATAATAACGTTCTCTTAATTTTGAGTGTCAAATTCTAGGAGCCCGTTTGGACATAAAGAAATTTTTCACTTCTTTTCGAAATCAGCGTTTGGTCATAAAATTTTCAATTTTCACTTGAAGATGTATTTTGGAATTTTTCGAAAATTTGAAAAACTTAAAAAGTTATTTTTCAAAATTTTAACTCAGATCACTCACAAAACTTCAAAAACAATCCAAAATTATATTCATGTCCAACACAACTCTAATTTTCAAATGTCATTTTCACTTGATTTTTTTTTCGTTTTTTTTTGGAATTTTACAATCCTTATGTCCAAACGCCCACTAGAATTGTTGCCCACAGTTAACGAGGAAATAAAAATCTCTAAATAGAAAATAAGAGAAGATGGTACGATATAGGCTTGAGAAAATGAATATTTGTTCCTCCGAATCAAGTTAAATTCATATATTTTACCCAAAAAGTTGGTAGTGTTTTATGGCTTTCCATGAAAGCTAAACGTCAGGTTGACTGCACATTTTCATTGGTTACTATTAATACGTGACTATTCTTATATATATTTTTTATTCCAGTAAGACTGTTCTTTCTATGTTCGTCATAATTTATTTATCATATTTTTTTTATAAAAAAAATTGAGTCAATTTAATCAATTTTAAAGCAAAATAAACTAAAGTAACTAATGCTTTTGGAACTAATATTAGGAATATTAAGAAAAATTGTGGATGAGTCAAATATAATAAACATGATGTTAAAGGAACGAGTATGAGTCATAGCTTTCAAACAACTTCTTTAGCTCATTCTGTTAGGTAGTTAGTAGAAGCTAGTTAGAGTTAAGTTGATTGTACATATATATACATAGCTACTGAACACAAACAGGCGGTTGGTTGATTTCAATGAATGAAATGAGTTCATTTTCTGTTCAGCTCAACCTCTCATTTCTGCTCACAAACTTGATCAATTGGTTCTAGATCTTAACATGGTATCCAGAGCCGATGAAGACATCGATTCACTCAAATTACTCGCAATTGATTTTTGTATTTAGAACTTTGGTTATCTATATAATTTCTTCGATTCACCTCATCTTAGGTTGAGTCGTTTTTGAGCAATTAGGTATTTCTACTTTTCTGTGTTGCACTCTCACCTAAGCTCTCGATTTTTTATCTTCAATGGTGATCAGAGCTATTGGTACTAGCACAGGCACAAGAATTAAAGATACTACTACTGATACAACCCAAATTCTATCCAACAGTACAACTCTAGTTGCAGATCTAAGTCGTGTGGGTGTTACAATTGTAGATCAATATCATCCACTATTTCTCCAACTGTCAGATACTCCAGGTAGCTCTCTAATCTCAATCAAGCTAATTGGACATGAAAACTATGCTCTGTGGAGTAGTTCTATGCGTATTAGTCTACTGGGTAAGAGCAAATTAGGTTTTGTAGATGGACGATATTCTAAGGAGAAATTTGATCCTTCTATTTATGATTTGTGGAAAAAATATAATGATATTGTACTTTCATGGATAATGAACTCTGTGAACACTGAGTTATTAAGTGGAATGATATATGCCACAAGTGCTCACAAGATGTGAAGTGACCTTAGAGAAAGCTTTGAAAAGGTGAACAACTCGAGAGTCTTGTACTTGCATAAGCAGATTGCTATTGTGTCACAAGGCATCTAATCAATGTCCTCCTATTTATCTAAATTGAAGGAGTTTTGGGCTGAATTTGATGCTCTTGTGCCTTGTCCTGATTGTAGCTATGTAGAATCAAAGAGATATGTAGAACATTTTGAGTATCAAAGGCTGCTACAGTTTTTAATTGAGACTGAATGAGTTCTATGCACAGTCGAGCAACCAGATCTTGAATATGTCTCTTATTTCCTTTATAAACAAAGCATATTCTATGATCATTTCAGAAGAAAGTAAAAGGTCTTTGGTTAATCATTCCTCAAATGAAGCAGAAATTCATGAAGGAACAACTTTGTTCACCAGTAAGGGTCACCCTAATTCATCTCAGTTTGCTAATAAATCCGGTCCTGCTACTTACTCTTCTAGTCCTGCCTCTTATTCCCCTGGCCCTCTGAACCATAATCAATTGTTGTTCAATAACAAAGGAGGTTCATATTCTACTAATAATTTCAAGCAAAAGAAGAACCAGCTGTATTCTGATTATTGCATTTTCAAAAGCCACACTAGGGAAACTTGCTATAAGCTTAATGGTTATTCCTTAGATTTCAAATCCAAAAAGAAGTATTCTTCAGCAAACTCAACTGCTTATACTGGAGAGAATCAGTTCTCTAACAATTTTGTTGGAGGGACATACCCCACTTCAACCAACACTGTCCTAACCTATGGTAGTCCATTAGCATCTTCACAAGTAGCCAATCTCACTAACAACCAGCTTGCTCAGGTTGCACTAAGTGGAATTCCTCAATTTACACAGGAGCAATACAACCAAATTATGCAGATGCTTGGAAAATGAAGTGAGAATAGTGGCTCAACCATGACAGCAGGTATGTCACACAATACAATCTTTCTCGAAGATAAGCCTAAGTGGATAATTAACACTGGATCTTCTAATCATATGGTGCATAAGATATATATGCGGTTTAATTTAAAACACTTGGGACAGTCTAAAGTAGGGAAAATGTATCTACCTACAGGAGATTTAGCCACTGTAAGACACCTAGGCTCCACATACATATTTTTTGGACACAAAATAACTAATGTGATGCATATACTTGAGTTCAAATACAATGTGTTATCTGTCTCAAAGATTACAAAGGATCTGAAGTGTGTAGCTATATTCTTTCCTAACTTTTGTATATTTCAGGATCTCTTCAGTAAACAGGTGAAGGAGATTAGTAAAGAAGATAGTGAATTGTATGTGTTGACTTCTGAGAGTATAATACAAGCAATTGGTGGTGCATCTACTACAACAAACTCAAATTCTGTTCCAAGATCTCTTAATGTAAATACCAATGAGTATACTAGAATAAATGTTTCCCTATGGTATATGAGGCTAGGTCATGTAACTTTGGATATACTGAAGAAAGTAAGTGAATTTCAGTCTATGAAATTTGATGATACTACAAAACATTGTACCGTTTGTCATGTTGCTAAGCAAATAAGATTACCGTTTCCTTTAAGTACTTCAATTGCTCATTCCAGCTTTGACATTATTCATGCTGATATGTGCGGTCCTTACTGGGTTCCTACTTATGATGAAAATAGGTATTTTTTAACCATAGTTGATGATCATTCCAGATTCACCTGGATTTATCTGTTACCCTCAAAAAAACTGAAGTAATTGTTGTTCTTAGGAACTTCTTCTCAATGGTTAAAACTATTCATTCCTCCGTTGTTAAATTTCTAAGAACAGACAATAGATGTGAATTCTTTAATACTCAAATGACAGAACTGCTTAAGTCACTAGGCATCACTCATAAAAGCTCTTGTGTTTACACTCTATAACAGAATGGAGTGGCTGAGAGAAGGCACAAGCATATACTCAATGTGGCAAGAACACTCAGATTCCAAGCTTCAATTCCACTCAGATTACGGGGAGAGTGTGTTATTATTGCAATTTATCTTAGAAACAGGCTATCTGCTTCAATACTCAAAGGTAAAGCACCATATGAAGTACTACATGGTGCTCTTTCTTCTCTCACTCATTTGAGAGTGTTTGGATGCCTAGGCTATGTGTTAGAAGTAAGGAGAACTGATAAATTTGCTCCTAGAGTTGTTCCTGCAGTTTTCATTGGGTATTCAGTGGTTCAAACGGGCTATAAGATGTATACATTAGCCTTAAGGAGTTTATAGTCAGTAGAAATGTGGTGTTCAGGGAGGATGTTTTTCCCTTCAAACACACCACCTCTCCTATATCATCAGTATTCCCTATTTTAGAGTTCTCCCTTGATATTACTCTAAAAGCAATATACCAGTATCCCTTCAAAATTCCTCTCACTCACCTCATACAGAGCTACCTATTGAACCACCTGCTGATCCCTTAATATCTACTGAGGTTTCAAACTTATCAGCTACTTCAGACACCAGTATACCATCAAATTCAGAGCATCCCACTGAGGCTTCAGCACCAGTGTTACATAATGAAGTACCTGAACCTAGCAAAAAATCTTAAAGATTATCCAAACCATCACTATGGACGAAGGATTATGTGCTACCAACTCATGGGAAGTCCAACTGTTGTTATCCCATATCAGACTATGTAATCTATGCCAACATCTTTTCTGCCTATAGCTCTGCACTAAGTGCCTACTCATCTATTACTGAACCACAATCTTATAATGAAGTAGTTCAAAATCCTAAATGGATTGCTGTTATGAAGTCAGAGATTACAGCACTATAGGAGAACAAGACTTGGAGCATTGTTGACTTGCCAGTTGGTAAAGTTCCCATTGGATGCAAATGGGTTTTCAAGGTTAAATACACAGCCCCAAGAGCTGTAGAAAGATATAAAGCAAGGCTAGTGGCTAAATATTATAACTAGCAAGAAGGGTTGGACTATACAGAAACTTTCTCTCCTATGGCCAAGATGGTCACATTCAGGTTAGTTATAGTAGTTGCAGCAGCTAAGCATTGGCACATTATTCAAATGGATGTTCACAACGCCTTCCTTCAAGGGGATTTGTTAGAAGAAGTGTATATCGACATGGCACGAGGTTTTTCTACTCAGGGAGGGTCATACAAGGTTTGTAGGTTACACAAATCATTATATGGCCTCAAACATGCACCAAGGCAGCGAAACAAGAAGCTGATTGATGCTTTGCTGCAGCTTGGTTTCACCCAAAGCCATTTTGATTACTCTTTGTTCACTAAGAAAGTGTAGAACATGCTAGTGCTTGTCTTAGTGTATGTTGATGACCTTTTGATTACAGGGAGTTGTCCTCAACTTATTATGCAGACTAGATGTGATATGTAACTCAAGTTCAAGATGAAGGATCTTTGTGAGCTCAAGTTCTTCTTGGGCATCCTAAAGCTAATTGCTGAGCTGGGACTCGGAGGGGCTAAACCTGCTAGTGCTCTATTAGAGCATAATCAGAAACTCACCTGTACAGACTATGACAACTTCATCAACAATCAAAGAACAGACAAAGACAATACAGATACAGATCACCTGCTATCTGATGCTAGCCAATATCAAAGGCTAGTAGGGAGACTTCTGTATCTGACAATGACCAGGACAAACATTGCCTTTGATGTTCAGGTTCTTAGCCAGTTTATGCATAAGCCCAATCTCATATGGAAGCTGCACTAAGAGTAGTAAGGTACATCAAGAATGCATCTAGTTTGGGATTGTTGATGCCCTCTGAAAGCTCTAGGAAAATAAAAGCCTATTGTGACTCAGATTGGGGAGGCTGCTTGCAGACTAGAAAGTTTGTTACACGCTATCTGGTGAAGTTTGGAAATGCCTTAATTTCTTGGAAGTCAAAGAAGCAAGACATTGTGGCAAGGAGTTCTGCAGAAGCAGAGTTCAGAAGCATGGCTTCAATAGTGGCTGAACTAACCTAGCTAACATGTCTATACAAAGAACTAGGAGTGGAGATTCAATTGCCTATTGATCTATACTGTGACAGCAAAGCTGCAATCTAGATTGCAGTCAATCCCATATTCTATGAACACACAAAACACATTGACTTAGATTGTCACTTTGTTAGAGAGAAAATTATTCAAGGAATGGTAAAGACACATCATATTTCTACAAAAAAAAAACTGATCTACTGACTAAGAGTATGTGAAAGCCACAACATGATTATCTACTATCCAAGCTGGGGTTGAAAGATGTATTTCAACCATCAGCTTGAGAGAGTGTGTTGAAGGATCGATATGAGTTATAACTATCAAGTAGCTTCTTTAGCTCATTCTGTTAGGTAGTTAAAGTCTTTAGGTGACATCTGTCATCAGCTAAGTTAATAGAGGCGGTTAATAGAAGTTAGTTAGAGTTAAGTTGACTGTACATATATATATATATAGCTACTGTACATAGATAGTCGGTTAGTTGATTTCAATGAAAAATGAGTTAATTTTGTTCAGCTCAATCTCTCATTTCTACTCACAAACTTGATCAATTGGTTCTAGATCTCAACACATGATTCACAATTTGAAAAATCAACGATTCTTTTTCAGTTTTATAAATATTGTTAAGTATAATTTTATCAGTTTTTATATTTTCTTCAATATAAAATTTTTTATTTGAAAGCTTAAGAAATTCATATTCAAATTCTGGTTGAAAAAGTAATTTGTATCGATCATTCTCTAATTTATAGAAGTGTTAAATTTTTCATGAAGTATGACAATATATCACTACCAACATCTGACACGCGATTGTTGTGTTATATTTTGTATTAAGATATATTTACACAATTCAACCAATATTCTTTTATCAAATTCACAGATGGTAGGATTCATAATTCTGAATCAGATAAACGGTGTACATGTAGTTGTGATTTATATACATGAATCAAATTTACTAATTTTAATAATTACTTGTGTATCTTTTACCACAATTCACAACTACTTTTACATCGTGTACACCATAAATTGACAATAATTTACTAGCCACCCTAAAGAAGACATATATTGATATGATTAAGTTCTGTACAGCTTCTATAAAATACTACTTTTCATTATGAAACAACTTCTTGATACATATGCATTTGTAAAAAATAAAGGAGGCGACAATTTCTTAAACACAAGGCACAAACTTTAAGACGTGCCAGCCATGTAACTCATTGCATGCTTATTCTAAAAATATTTCAATCCTTTTAAAAAATTTATACTAATTAGCATGGGATACACAGAAAAGTTGGATACACGAATTAAAACAGATGGAGTATATAAACTAAATTAATATTTTAGAATCAGGTAAAATGAACCAAAGTACTAACAAAATAGAAACTCATTCTAACAAGATAACTAAAAAAATGGGCATATTTGGCAGCCATCAACAAGTTGCCAAATCAGTCAAATTAATCAAAGGTTGACAGGTAGATAGTGACAGTTTATCTTCATCTAATACCCAACAAGTCACCCAACTCCAACGTGTTTGATAAATCATTGCCTACACACATACTATATGCTAATTTCTCTCTAATTTTTGTGTAATCAATCACTTTTTACCACTGTGTAGCAAAAAATTTACAGCAGTGGCTGTGGACTGTGTAGGATTATGGCACATCAGAATTACAAAGGCTTAGATTCCGTCACCGTCGCCGACGTTGAAGCTCTAGGAATAGCCTCTGAACTCGCCGGAGAAATACACGAAAAACTCACCCGAATTGTTCGTAATTACGGTGCTACCACTCCCCAAACATGGCACCATATTTCCAAAGAAATTCTCACCCCGAAACTCCCTTTCTCTTTACACCAGATGATGTACTATGGATGTTACAAGGATTTTGGCCCTGACCCGCCTGCTTGGTTACCCGACTCGTTAGTCCCTCTTCTCTTTCTTTTATTTGATCATTTTTTGGGTTAAAGACGGGAAAAATGGATTCTATCAGTTTATCAAGTCACTCAATCAACTATCCCTCTGTTTTGATCTAATTGTTAAATGAATGGTCATAATTAGACTATTTTTTTACATTGGTCGGTAAATATCTGTTGAGTACACTAAGGCCATCTCCAAATTTGGGGGAATTTAGCTCAACCCTCCCCCATTTTTGTCCCCAAAATGGGGATGAATAGTGTTCCCTCAAATATGGGTACATTATTCATCTCCCCATTACTATTCATCACTTTTTTATTATTATTTTATTATTTAATCTTTTAATTTATCTCTTTATATATATCTCATTATGTTTATGTAATGTATTTATAATATTAATATTATATCTTAACTTCGGTGTGTAATTTTGATAAATTAATTTTCGTGCATTTATTATTTTTATGTAGAAATAGCAGTAGATGAAAATCAACGATTTCAAGAATTTTTATTTCGACATAGAAGAATTAAGGACAAAGATGCTCATTTTGCACTTCGTAATGCATTAATAGATCATTTATGGGAGAATACTAGAGGTTGAGGTTGAATATTTATCTAGTATTTCGAATGAATTTTATCGTTATGTAATATGTATTTAATTAATCTTGTACCATAATGATTTCACTTTTATTTGAAGTATTAGTTAATCTATAATAATTGCTTACAAATTATATTATTTAAAATTTTATGGAATTGTTTTAATTATGGAAATTACAAATTAATAAAAATAAAAGATGGAATTTGTTTAATGGAAATTAAAAAATGAAATTGAAATGAAAGATAATAATATAATATAGAAGAGAGAGAAGAATATAAAAAATTTGAGAAAAAAAATGGGGGAATGGTTGGAGTAAGTTGTCCCCAAAATGGGGAAATCCCCATTTTGGGGACCAAAAATGGGGTAAAGGTTGGAGATGCCTTAAGCTTCAATTGCGAACTGGTTTGGGATTGGCTAAATTAGTCATATGCTTTAGAGGCACTCAGGTGGCCCATCCATAAAGCAGGTAAAGCAATCGCTTTAGGCCCCACCCATTTTTTTTATTATACCTAAGTTCTATATATAAAAAAAAAAAAAAAACTAACGTGCAAAGTTTGCACAAAAAGAGAACATAAATTTGAGATTGTGAATGCCAGTGGGAGGGGCCCACTTCTATTACTCATGGTAATTTATTTTCAAAATAAAATAAAATCTGAAAGTACAATTGCATGGTAAGAACCAACGTTACTAACTTTTTGGGAATAGAAAGAGTCCTTTCGGGAATGGAAAGAGTCCCTCTTTAAGGAGGATATCTTGGAAAATAATCAATTAGGTAGGAATATATTTTTATTGGTTGTAGTACATAAACAAGTACAACTTTTCCTTTAAAGTTTTAACTTTTCTATCACAAGTCACAACTTTCTCAAGCAAAGTGAAAACAAAAACGTGTGCACTATTCCATATTATATTTTTATACTTTGTTCTTCAATTCAAGCCTCTATTTTGCAATAGCCAAAGATTATTGTGGAGTTTCAGAGTTCAGTGTATTTATTCAAAAAATAGTGGAGTGTTTTTTGTTCGTTCTATTATCATAATTCAAGTCTTACAACAAGCATACTCGAGCAGAAATTTAATTTGATATCAAGTTATCCGTTCTTGAACCAGGTTCTATCATTCTATCTTTTTATTATTTTTTCATCTAAAATTTAATATTTTGCTATTTAGTGCATTTTTAGATTATTTATTAGAAGATAAGTATGTCAAATAGAAAGTATGAATCCGGTTATGAAAAACTCAAGAAAAGAAGAAGAATTCAAAATCTAATACAATCTCAAAAAGGTGCACTTGATAAATTTTTATTGAATAATAAAGATCTTGAATCAAAAAGTTTGGGAGAGTGGTCTCCAGATAAGCAAGTTAGTAATTCGGTTGAGTTAGATAATTCTAAAATTAATAATATTCAAGTAGAAAAAGAACAAGTAAGTGACAAGTCGGAAATAGATCCTCAAAAAATCAAGAGGTTATAAATGAAATAGATAATTCAACTCCTATAAATATATATGATCCTAGTCAATGGACTAATGTAGATACAAAGTTGAGAGATCTATTAGTAGAAAAGGGACCGATTATAATAATTGACACAAATTTTCCGAATGATAATTTTTCAAAACATTTTTCTACTACACATTATATTCAAAAATTGGCAAACGGTGAAAGACATGATAGAAGATGGTTAGTTTATTCTAAAGACTTAGATAAAGTATTTTGTTTTTGTTGTAAGTTGTTTAGTTCGAGGTCCGGAACTTGTAACAGTAAACTAGCTAGTGAAGGTAGTAATGATTGGAGAAATATTAGTACTAAGCTCAAAACCCATGAAACAACAAATGAACATATTATTAACATGGCTGCATAGCTTGATTTAGAAATAAGACTGCAAAAAGATAAAACAATCGATAAAGATGTTCAAGAACAAATCAATAGAGATAATGAGCATTGGAAAAATGTATTATCAAGAATTATTGCTGTGATCAAAACTCTTGGAAAAAATAATTTGGCATTTAAAGGAAAAAATGAAAAGATATATCAAGAGAATAATGGAAATTTTTTAAGTTTAATTGAAATGATTGCAAAATTTGACCCTGTCATGTAGGAACATATTCGACGAATTAAGCATGATGAAATTCATAGTCATTACCTTGGTCATAGAATACGAAATGAATTGATAAACTTATTGGCAAGTGAAATTAAGAATAAAATTATAGAAGTCAAATATTTCTCGATCATACTTGATTGCACTCCGGATACAAGTCATCAAGAACAAATGTCTTTTATACTGCGGAGAATGGATATTTCAGCAACTCCAATAAAAATTAATGAATATTTTTTAGAATTTTTAAAAGTAGATGATACTAGTGAGAAAGGTCCTTTTGAAGTTATTATAGATGAAATAAAAAATATTGGACTTGATATTGATAGCTTAAGAGGGCAAGGATATGATAATGGGTCAAATATGAAGGGAAAACATCAAGGAGTGCAAAAAAGACTTCTTGA